TCGCTTTTCTGAGCACTGATGCGCCCGAGACCGAGCCTGCCTGGGAGAAGGACCTCAGACTGTCTCCAGGCCAATGAGCCTGTTTATCCAGCACGCTCACTGTTCAAGTATCGGATGACTGAAGCACTAGTCTGATTGAAGGACATTTCCCCCCAAATTAGAAACACCCAGCTTGTTAGCAGTTTATGCTTTAGACGATGAAAGAGGATATTTCTCCATGACTGGAAACAGAATTGAAAGGTGGCACATTTCATCTCTGACATTCTCTTTCCCCTGTCCCCCTCATGCAGAATTGATAATTATGAAAATTCCGTGGCTAGGAGGGTTGGGCAGAGTTCTAGATATTTACCCCTTTGGAGTCAGACATATTCTCTTAGGGAGAGCTGAATTCTAATGGCCGAAAGATTGGCCAAAAAAACAGTCATGAAACATTTTTGTGATCTTGTCAGTAAAGCGATGGTCCCTGATTGAATCCAGATTGAGCTGTTTCCTGTTGGCGTGCTAACCCAGAGGGCAGGCTCAGCCCTCTGCGCTGCCTCTAAGTCTGGGTTATTAAACACTTGTCTGCCAAGCCCCGCCCCCTCTTCTCTTAAACTAGAATTCAAAGGTATTGAGATATTACAAACAAAAAGGTCCTAAAGTCTCTTAAAGGGGTTATGTAGCTTTTGAATATTTTGCTGCAAAAGGAAACCAACATTTTAGTTTCTCCAGTCTGACCCTAAGGCAGAGCATATTTTGTGTTCACTTTTGTATAATTCTATTCCAAAACAATTCCAGTAACGAGTAGATCTTTTTTTTTTAATCCTCACCTGAGGGTGTTTTTTTCTTTTTCTTTTCTATTTATCTTCAGATAGAATGAGAGGGAGAGAAAGGGAGAGAGAGAGAGACATCAACGGGAGAGGGACACATCGACTGGTTGCCTCCCACACGACCCCGACCAGGGCCAGGGATGAACCACAACTGAGGCACGTGCCCTTGACCGGAATCGAACCCGTGACTCATTGATCGAGGACCGATGCTTCACCGCTGAGCCAAACCAGCCAGGACACGAGCAGATCATTTTTAAGTTTTTGTTTTTCATTATACAAATATACTTTATTTTGAACGTTGGTAAATTACGGCCCATCTTCAGAAACTGGGTCCTCCCCTTGCCGTAGCAAGTAAATATTAGGGGGCTTTGCAGATGTGCAGAAGGTGATTTTGGGCAAGTGCCCTGACACCTTAACACGCATTGTTCATCTGGGTGCGAGTGATTTTAGGCACCAGAGCAATTCCTGTACTTCATTTCATGACATTGCCACTGATTCTCACTCACGCCCTTAGAGGATTTTTTTTTTTTTTTTTTTTAATCCTCACCCGAGGACATTTTTCCATTTTTTGCTCAGATAGAGTGGGAGGGAGAGAGAGAGAGAGAGAAACATCGACGTGAAAGGGACACATTGAGTGGCTGCCACCTGCACGACCAACCAGGGCCAGGGACAAACTGCAACCGAGGTACGTGCCCTTAGCGGGAACTGAACCCGGGTCTCTCTGGATTGCAGGCCGACACTCTAACCGCTGAGCCAAACCGGTCAGGACAGAGGATTTTTTAAATCGAAATATTCAGAGGATTTGATTAGCTGTTCTGTTAGCTCAAACACAGTTCTTCCTAATTTACAGATGCAGACACTAAGGAACAGAAACCATTAAAGGGACTTCTGGGGATCAAGCATGCACATTGAGGTATTTTTCAGAGGCAAAGGCGGACTGAAAGGAAGCGACTGGGTTAATGAGCAACATGATTCCATTCCCAAGGGAGAACGTGGCTTCCTGCCAAGTCCGCTTTCTGGCAGGAAAAGGGACCCACTTCATCAGGTCCTCTGACATGCATTTTTCTCCGTGTTCAAATTTTTGGCCACATCAGTGCTCAGTGAAAAATTAGTTCTTTTAAATAGTTATTCCTTACAATAAGAAAAGATTTAGTTTTTAATTGGAATTTGCGTTGTGAGTAAAATAAGAATCATCAAATTACAGAAGTGTCTGGTAAGGGAACCCTGCCATTGTCACGAGGTAAGGAAGCGTGATTTAGAGTTACAGCTTGGCTGTCCCCGCACACTGAGAAGCCGTCCCTTTCCTTCTGGCTGTTGACATTTGGCACTGAAGTATATTCTCTGACTACCACTTTTTAATGTTATCAGGCTGGTAAGAATTTTGCCCGGATTTTTGAAATGACTAAGCAAAACACGAAAAACATCCCTTAAGTTTGGTATTAAGAAAGAGACCAAAGAACTATAGATGTTAGAAGATAAAAATTAACATTATATTTTAAGTGTTCATTTTTCTTTTTTTTAAGTGAAAAGTGGCAAATGTGAATTGTTTTAAATGCGTCACAGTGACTTACTAAGCTAACAGTTTCCTACACTTTGTTCATTCTAACCTTCTGCAAGATGCTGTGAGGATAAAGGGACGTTCTTTTGCAAATGTCGTATACCTTATCCTTCTTTTGGAGTTTTATAGCATATTAGCACATTAAAGATTCCAAGGTAAAGCAGTGTGTTTGGCTTGAACTCTGTAGCTCCCAAACTCGACCACAGGACCTTTTGATTTGGAACTAGTGTTTTACCGCACACACTTAGGACAACCCTGTACCAAGCAGCTAATGTAATTAGGCTTTGAAACAATATACCTTTTTCATTTATTGCTTCTGGTTAAAGTTAATTGAAGCTCCTGGGAGACAGATGGGTACTATTAGGCCTGTTCTGAAACTACATATAGAGTGATAAAGAACAGTTACTAAGCCAGCATCTGAGTCAACAGGCTAAAGAAACATTTGGTAATTTGCCTGAATGAGACCTCTCATTTTAATAAACTGAAAGTATCTTTCCAAATTAAATAAAGAAATAAAGTCACCCAGCACATCAGCTGGAGCGTTCATACTAATTCCTGTTAGCAGTTAGACATGATGACACTAAGCCGTCCTAACCCTCCTCCGACAGCGACTGCCACTGCTTCGGTCCACAGAGAGCAATATCGCCTGCGAATTTCCTCCCGGTGCCTTAGTTCCGACGGGCCAGATGGAGGAAAAGCAAGCATGCTACTTAGTAAGCACAGGTCACCATTTAGAGATTCAGTTCTCTCTTCTCTAACCCTCTTCTTTAATTTTCACATTCGACTATTTCAATTTAGAAGAAATCGATATAAAACAATTCAAACTGGCAGTCAATTCAGAGACATTGCCTGGCAAGTCTTTGCATCACTTCGAATGATTATTTGCTTTAGGCAAAGAGTCTCTGGGTAGGTCATCTTCCCTGGTGTCTGTGAAGGGCAAGTTAAACTCTGAGTACAGCATCTGTATATACTTTCGTAAGCGCAGCTTTATTGTGGGATGTAAGGCAAACCTGTGTTTTTCTTTAATCTAATTCTCTACCTTTTATACTCAGATTTTATCACTAATCACTTCTTAAGTAGTATGGTTTGTGCCTCTAAGGTGCAGTTATACCTACTAATATTTCTCAGGTTCATTTTCATGTGACGATTGCTTCTCATGAACAAATGTATTCTCTTGTACATGGCATGTCTCCAGAAGGAAGGGGTGATGCACCCATCCACCCTTTGCATTACTCCCCACGGATCAGCCCAGGGCTGCTTGGTACAGTCACTTCGCAGTCAACTGTGTTGATTGCTGATGATATGAAATAAGAAAGTGTATTGCCTTCCATGGACTGAAGAACACCAGGTCTTCATAGATTTCCATGGAGAACATATACCTACCATGGCTGATTTCTCAGGCTATCAACATGATGTCCACTGGTTCACACAAACCCTAAACATTTAGCAATCAGTTGTTCAAAGCTAGTATGAGTCAGCTTCAGCACACCACTGTAGGAGCTGTCTTTAAGAATGAGCTTGAACAGCCCAGTCTGTGTGGCTCAGTGGTTGAGCATCATCCCATGCATCAAGATGTCTCTGGTTTGATTCCTGGTCAGAGTACATTCCTGGGTTGCTGGCCTGATCCCCAGTAGGGGGTACACAGGAAGCAGCTGATCAGTGTTTTGCTCTAATTGACATTTCTCTCTCTCCCTCTCCTTCCTTCTCTCTCTAAAATCTATAAAAATACATTTTAGAAAAACGAGATTGAACAGACATACAGGTACAGAGAACAAACTGACCAAGGAGCCTAGAGGAGAGGGGTATTGGGGTCTGGGTGAAATAAGATAATGGGATTAAGGAGTGCTAATTGGTAGTTACACAGCAGGCGTGGGATTTAAGGTGAAGCATAGGGAATATAGTCAACAATGTTGTAATAACTATATGGTGCCGGGTGGGCACTTGAATTATCAGAGGGAACACTTTGAACACCCGAAACTAATACAAAGTAGTGTTGAATTCAAACTGTAATAAAACATTTTTTAAAAGGATGAGTTTGAAAATTTGCTCTGCTGCAATACAAAGGAAATGATTGATAACATTTGCTAAACTCAATCCTGGGGTCATAGAGAATATCCTTGATAAAACATGCCAGTAACCTAGTTCCTGGTAGGGTAGTAAATAGAGCAAATGTAACCAGGATGAAGTGATGCCTCTACTTCCAGAGAGGAAGGAAGCATCACCACACCACCACCACCACCAAGCACACCACTCTGCACTCACAGGTGAGGGGACGGCCTTACATGACTTGTCGGGAAATTAAAGACGAACAAGGGAAAGCATGACAGGCTTGGATTCAACTATTTCAGTTTTCCTTTAGGGCAGTGGTTCTCAACCTTCCTAATGCTGCGACCCTTTAATGCAGTTCCGCATGTTGTCTGTGGGGGGATCTGCATGTGGGTGGACCCCCCTGGAGACGGGTAGAGGAGCCGTGTCTCGGTTCCTAAGACCATCAGAAATACGTGTTTTTCCATGGTCTTAGGCGACCCCTGTGAAAGGGTCGTTCGACCCCAGAGGGGTCGTGACCCACAGGTTGAGAACTGCTGCTTTAGGGTGTCATTTCTCTTGCTCATAGCCATGCGTTTATTGTACAGGTTGAAGGGGACCAGCTCCCTCCAGGACATACGGTCAGCCAGTATGAGACCTGTAAGATCAGGACCATAAAAGCCGGCACCTTGGAGAAGCTGGTGGAGAATCTGCTGACAGCTTTTGGGGACAATGACTTTACCTATATCAGCATCTTCCTGTCGACGTACAGAGGCTTTGCCTCCACAAAAGAAGTGTTGGAACTACTGCTGGACAGGTAAGAGTGTGAAAGGGCTGTGTGCAGAGTGAGGGATGAGGTTGTGCTGAGAGACATGGATGAGGGGTTAACCGGAAGGGGCGGAGCAAATGGCATGGGAATTATCCAGGAGCCACTTTACGGTCTATTTCTGATGATGACATCTCATTAAAAAATCTATAAAAGAGTTGGGAGTACATGCTGTAATCCAGACTCAACTGTTTATAAATTTCAGTTGAAATTTATTTACTACTATTTACTTACTATTTGCCACCCTAAAAATGTCCCCATGTTTTTATAATTTTATCTGATTTCAGTAAATAATTAACCAGAACTCTTACTGGATTGTCGTGAGAATTAAATATGCTAATACGTGTGAAGTGTGGAGCTCAGTGTTAACTCCGCAGGAAGCAGCAATGAATGGGAGCTATACAGTGGCTGATAACAACTACCAACAATCAGTGTGCTCGGCTGCTCTGTGGATTTGCACATAAATGTCATCCTTGATCTGTGTAGTAGAGCAGTGTACATTGTAGTTCACACACCGATAATTACACTTCCCCCTTTATTTTTGTTTTATTTATAGTTAAACTTTGTCTTTTAAAAAAAAAGCCAGATGAGTGTTTTAGAATCATGAGAGTTCTCACCCAAATCCTTATATTCTGAGGTTTCCTGTATAAGAAAGGAAATGAGATAGGATGTTTTCGTTGGAGTTGTTGAATACTGACTTTTAACTAGGTTTAAAAGAAATTGACAAGAATATGTCCTCATGTTAAAATTCTTATACCATAGGAAGGTTATAAAAAGGAACAGGAATGTTTTCTCATATGGCTACCTTTTCCCAAATAAGTTTCATTATGTATAAAAAATATGTAGAAATAGAAAGAAAAAAATTAAACAGACCATAATCTAATTAGGCAGATAACACACGTGAAGATTTCAAAAGTAGAAGTAATCCCTGTACATAGTGAAAAGTTCAAACAATTCAGAAAGTTATAAAAATGAGAAATAAAACTTTCTTTTTCCCTAAGTCCCATTGCTCCTAGTTAATCTATGCTGCATACCATTCCCTGTGTATTCTTCCCAAATTTTTCTGGGTGTATGTACATATACATATATGCAAATTTGTATAGATATATATCATATATATGATATTTATTACATATAGGTTATATACTTAAATATGATATGAATAGAATCATAGTACACATTCTGTTCTTCAATTAAAAAAAACTTATCTATGTATCTTGGAGATTTTTTTGTTCATTAAGGGAATTAACATATGTAAAGGGCTTATTAGAACTGTGGCTGACATATTGAAAGCTCAAGAAACAAACTACTGTTATTTCAAAATCAGCACATGTAGGTAGATTTACCATATTCCTTTTAGTGCTTTATGGTATTTATTGAGGTGATTATTTTGTGGATAGACAGTTAAACTCTCTCCAGTTTTTTTTTTTTAATTTATTATTATTTTTTGAAATTTTAAACAATGCTGCCAAGAGTGTCTTTGACTATATACCTTCTGAGTACCTGTTTGAGAATTCTGTAGGATGATTTCATAGAAGAGTGATGGATAGGTCAGAATGCATAAGCATTTCAAGTGCCCTCCGGAAGGTTGCACCATCCACACTTCTGTCCACAGAGAAGGAGGGTGCCTCTTCCCTCTTCCCTCACTTTCCCCACACCCTTGCCAACTCTGCCATCGAAACCATCTCTACATTGTCCACTAAAAAATAGTTTGTTTTAAAATTTGTGTTTTTACATTTATGAGTGAGGTTTGGAATTCTTCATAATACTTATAGGGCATTTGTGTTTTCTGTAAACTGTCTTTTCATATCCTATACTTATTTTTATTTTGGACCATTGGCATCTAATTATTGATCATCTAATTATAACTCTGTTGTATATTAACAAAATTGGTTTTTGCTTATCATATATTAGAAATGTTTTTTTCTATTTTGTCCTTTGGATTTAAAGTTGTTTATTAGTATTATTAATATTATTTTTTATGAAGACATTTAAATATTTTCATGCAGTTGTATTTATCAGTCTTAAAGGCCTTTTAATAGTCAACTTTTATTCTAATGGGAATAAGATTATTGATAACGGTTTTTCTCAAGATATTCTCCGTATAGATGCATACAGAATGAACTTATGTGGATCATATGTTCTGTATATTCAGAAACATTCACAGAATGTCTCTCCTTATTCTACACTGATCTGATCATGGTAACTCTGGGTTTAGGAAGTCCTGTAGAATTTTGCATAGCAGTAAGCCTGGAGTATAAACCTGTGGGATTAGTGAGTCTTTTTTTTTTCATAGTTTGTTTGCTTCTATAATACCTCTCACCTATAAATAGAACCTGAAGAATTATGTGAATTTTCTCTTTGCTATTTTGTATTTATAAAAAGGCTGCAGTATGCTAACTGTTGGCAGGAAGTATGAGGAAATAGGTCAGCACAGCAGAACTCCTACAGGTTTTTTTGGAATGGGTGACCTCCTCTTCTTCTGGGGTAGCTCCATTGATCATAGGCCACAGATGGCCACCGTCAGTAAGGGAGCCCACCTGAGTTCCAGCTGTCCATGGCAAACAGTGGACAGACACTCAGGAACTAGAATGTTTAGTCTATGACTCGTGGACATCCAGCTTTCATTTGGCGATTTAAAAAAATCTTCTTTGTTCTCCTGTCATAGACATGTTTGGATTTATAAATATTAACTAGATGACAATTAACTAGAATCAATATGAATTCAAATTACATTGAATTCAAACAATCAGGTAAGGCACAACTGAATGAAGAGTTAAGGTTTATCTTGAACCATTTGGATAACCTGGCCTTGAATCTAATCTTATAGTTTGTATTTTTCTTGCTTCTGAGGTGAGTGGCATCGGCAGGTCCTGAATTGAACACTCAGTGCAGCAGGACACCCTATGGGTGAAACAGAAATGTAAGACTCAGTTAGTCCTCACCCTTGTGGTAAATTTACTGTGAGGTTGCTGGTACCGAACCTCCAGAGACCCTCACTTGCAATACCCGCTACATTATTTATATTCATAATTTTGTATCCTTTTTCTTGGAGAGGACCCCTCAGATTACATATGCTGACCCCGCAAAACCTGGACCCACCCTGAGAACTTTGTATCTTACTGCAAAAGATAAGGTTTACATTTATGAAACAAGTAGACAAACCACTTAAGATGGTATAAAAATGAAACTCTGAGATGTTCTGCAGACGTTCAGAGAAATAAATCCTATTTATCTTGCTTTCTCTGCAGAAATTTGGGATTGTCCAGATATGTCCAAACTTTAACACGAATATTTCTTCCTCACTCCATTTTCTACTCACACTTCGATCTTGTGACCAGATGTTAATCTTTGTTTCTTTTTAACTGAAACGCAGATTCTGTGCAATGGCTGGGTTCTTAAATTGATTAGGGAGGGTTTCAATGTCTATGATGGGGAGGTAAGCAATTAAGTTGCGTGAACTTACCTTTTCTGAAGATAAGCTGGATATACTATTTTCTTGTTAGGAAATTATAGTAGACTAATTTGTGAGTCTCCAGTATAATTTTAAAAATAATTTCTCTTGGTTTCATAATAGATTGCTTATCTGTTGTGAAATCGACACTGAAGTTATTGGAGGATGTGCTAATCCTATCCAGTCAAGAGTGGATTGAAGGCAGATGGTGCTGTATTTATTTCCCTCCAGAGGGGAGCTTATTTGCAGTCCAGATTTGATTTTCCTTAAGACTTCCAATCACGTGGCTTTTCTCCTAGGGAACTGTTTGCTTTCTGTGATTTAAAAAAAATTTTTTTTATAATTTTTTTTTTTATTCTGCTAATATGAGCCTTTATGTTTGACCAGTAGACAGTGGCTTACAGTCCCAAGTGGCTAATTCCATGTGTTTACTCTACTCTGTACGTGGGGTGATCAGCAATGCACAAGGAACCCTGCTTTCTGCGCTGCTCACCGTGGCGCGGTCACTTCCAGGCTCCCTGCCTGCCTTTCGGTCTAAGAGAAAGTTTTTGGATTGTGGTTTAGCTGTTTGTGTTGGGCCTTTGAGATTTTTTTTTTCTTCTCGAACTTCAGACATGCATTCCATTTAAAAGTGTATTCTTCCCACCACACTATTAAAAAAAGGTAAGTTTTCTCTGAAAACACCCAGTGTCAAATGTAAGGAGAAACCGAACTCTCTAGTGATCCTCACTGAGAACCAAGAAATGTTTGTACAAACATCTGAATTTTTCTTCAGACAGCTGTCGCACTGGCTACTTGGGAGCTGTTTCTCAATCATTCTCTCTTTCTCTGGTCGGCCGTTCTGAGATCAGGAGTAAGCAAAATGCCAAGAACGAGCAGAATAGGGATGAACTAGGTCCCCAGAAATGTGCACCGCGTCACTAATGGCACGCAGGTCACAGTTTGGAAAGGACTGAGCAGTCATCGGAATCATCCCTTCATTTCAAGCTAGTTCTCCCGGTGCAGGACTCCTGGAGAGGATCAAGGTTGGAGCCATCAGCACGCATTCTGTTTTAAGACCAGTCTGGCCTGAATTTGCTTGCTTAGGTCACGAAAAGGAGACCGATTCAGTGGGTCTTTGAACTGTTTCTTCTCCCATGTTTGCTTGCCCTGCATTTCCATAGGCCTTATCTCATTTAGTTGGTTTGTCATTGTCCTCCCCTGTTTACAGATACGAGGCACAGAAACATCCCATCAGTAAGTGCAGAGCTGGGATGGAGACCTCTGTCTTCTGCCTGGTAGCTCTTTCCAAGGGAACTGTATCACCTCCCCGGGGTTTGTCACTGTCGGGTCCGGGGGTCTGGAGTGTTTCTGGCTGTTTGATGTGCTCAGGCCCAATCCGGACCTCAGTCTGCTCCTTCCGAAGGAGGCTCTTCTTGGAGGTCAGGGGTACAAGTGAGACAGCTTGGGAGGTCTGCACAAATACGTCACCGCTGTGGGGATGGTGATCGTACCTCCATCCTCTGTGGCAGCTGGCGCAGGGACACCTTCACATGTA